AAAAAAAAAAAAAAAATCCCTCAGGGATATGCTCACCAGGATAAGATTTTATCACACAGCCAACACCGAGCAGGGGTTAGATGCTTAGAAGAGAAATAAATGGAGGTACCAGGGATGGTGTTCACAATCCGGAATTGCGTGGTGTTCTCACAGAGGAAGTTACATCCACAGAAGAGTTATTTTGTGAGTAGTTCACACAGGCTCCTGAGTGCCCCCGGACCATAAAGGCTTGGTTTTCCAGTGAACTGGGGGATGCAGGGTCTCCCTAAAGTCCATGGGGGCTATACTGAATCAGAGAATAGTTTGGGTTGGAAGAGACTTTTAAGGTCACCTAGTCCAACCCCCTGCCATGGGCAAGGACATCTTCAACCAGATCAGGTTGCTCAGAGCCCCGTCCAACCTGACCTTGAGTGTTTCCAGGGATGGGGCATCGACCACCTCTCTGGGCAACCTGGTCCAGTGTCTCACCACCAAATCATAAAAAATCTCTTCCTTATAACCCGTCTAAATCTACTCTTTTCAGTTTAAAACCATTACCCCTTATGCTCTCACAACAGGTCCTGATAAAAAGTCTGTACCCATCTTTCCTACCGGCCGCCTTTAAGTATTCAAAAGCTGCAATAAGGTCTCCCTGGCGCCTTCTCTTCTCCAGACAGAACATCCCCAACTCTCTCAGCTTTTCTCCACGGGAGAGGTGTTCCATGCCTCTCAACGTTTCCGTGGCCTCCTCTAGACCTGCTCCAACAGGTCCATGTTTTTCCTGTGCTGAACACAGTACTCAAGGGGTCTCTTAAAAGCAGAGTAGAGGGGGAGAATCCCTGGGAGGGAGGCTGGAAGAGGCAGGAAGAGGCTGAGGGAGGCTGAGAGCAAGGCTGGCTCGAGGGAAATAGAGCGCAGGAAAAAGTGGAGGCCAAAATGGGGTGGAAGGACCAAAAGGGGTGGGAGGCCTCAGGAAAGTAGAAATTAGATGAAAGAGGCTTGTATTAGGTTGGAACTATTTGGGGGCAGACTGTTTCAGGGGGAATGTTTTGGGGGCTAACTATTTTGTGGGGGACAGTGATACTGGAGGGTCTATTTCAGGGGGACTATTTGGGGGGGACTCGTGCAGAGGGATATTTAAGAGGCAGATATTTCACAGGGGAGTATGTTGGGGGTGGAGCATTTTAGAGGGGATTTTTTCCAGGGGGACTCTTTCAAGGGACCTATTTCTGAGGAGAGTATTTGGAGGGAACATTGGTGGGGGGCAGCTTCCAGGGGGAGTATTTCGGGGCAGGAGAGTTACAGGAGGTACTATTTCAGGGGCACTATGTCATGGGGGGAGTGCTATGGGGAGACTATTTCAGGGGGACATATTTTGGAGAGGAGCGTTTATGAGATGCACTATTTCAGGAAACTCTTTTGGGGGGCACTCTTTGAGAGGGGAGTATTTAGGGGTGAGTAGTTCTGGGAGGACTCTTTGGTGGGGGTACTATTGAGGGGCAGGAGTGCTATGGGACAGACTATTTCAGGGACATTAGTTTGAGGGTGTTTTGCCAGTTACCAGGCCTAGCATAAAGGACACAGCCAGCACAAAGATGAACCAATAACCAAATTGTATTTGATACAAAAGGGTCAGTACAGGGGTGAGCGCTGGGGGTACAAACAAGTCAATCAGGTTATACATAATCAACATCAATCCCACTGACCCCAACAACAATACCACACAACCAACAATGGGTGGGATAAGCAGTGAAATGCAGTCTCCCATAGAAGGGACGGGAGACAACCAGGTCAACCAGACAAACACATCAGACCAAGGAAGCCACACACTGAATCCCTACACAGCCCACGTTTACAAAAGCCAGACCTGCCTGGAGCCCAGTCCCAGGGAGGCAGGAGGTCCTTCCCCAACAGGGAACTCTGCACAGGGCACCCACCTCACACACAGACACTGCCCTGCCTGCAAGGGGTCCCAGCTGTTATCCCTCAGTGGACACCTGACCTTGGGTTACTCACTGCAGAGCCCTGGGGCTCAGTGACCCAATGGCTCTGTCTGCAAGGCCGCCCCACCCTGGAGGGAAGCCTAAAGGGAAACTCACCCCCCTTTGGGAAGGGCTGTGGGAATCACCCACATGTCAACCTTAACTTGGGGCTTGGGGTTGAATCCCTGGCATTTCAGAGGGACACTAGTTCAAGGGGGACTATTTTGAGGGGACTATTTCAGAGAGTGAGTTTTTACAGGACAGACTACCTCAGAAGGTGAGTTACTATGGGAGGGGCTACTTCAGGGAGACTTTTAGAGGTACTGTTTCAGGGGGGATTATTTTGGGAGGGACTTTTTCAGGTGGGTCTATTTTAAGGTGTGTGTGTGTGTGTTTTACAGGAGGAATTATTTCGGGAGACGCTTTTGGGGGCATTATTTCCAGGGGCCCCAAAATGTGGTGGGAGGGTGCAGGAAAGTAGAGGCCACAGGGCAAATATAGGCCAGAAAAAAAGTAGATGCCGGAAGGGAGTGTGAGTTCTGATGCATATTAGAGTTTGAAAAGGGCTGGGAAGCTGAAAAGGGGTGAGAGGCCGTGGGGGAATTAGAGATGGAGAAATCACTAGAAAAGGAAGGAGGAGTCCTGCAGGCGCATGGTAGAAGAAAAACAGGGTCAGGGAGCAAGACGGAGGAAGAGAAATAATGATGAGTGGAGACAGAAAGACAGAGAGAAATCAAATGTGGGGGGAAATGAAGATGGGAAGGAGGGAGAGTAAGAGACGGTCAAGAAGGCAGAGGGACTGAGAGAGGGAGAGAAGGAGAAAGGGAGAGGGATCGGGACGGGCTACAGGATGAAAGGGAAAAGGTCCTGGAGCAGGACAGAATGGCACAAGGAGCTGGGCACAGGGTTATAGGGGAAAGAACACCACAGAGAGTGGTATGGAGCTCCACAGGAAAAATGTTTGGGAGAGGATGGAGGACAGAGAGAAGAGAAAAGGGACAGGCAGCAAGGCACTGATGGAGAAAGAAACAGTAGCAACAGAGAGATGAGGGGAGGGACAAGACCGAGGCAGAGAGGTGGAGAAAGAGCACCAAGGCAGCGATGGGGAGCGGGCCAGAGGGATCAGCAAAGAGAGGAGGCTGCACAGAGGCACCGAGAAGAGAGGTGAGCGACAGGGAGCCAGACAGCAGGAGACGACTGCGGGAGAGAGAGAGAGACAGGGAGTAGGATGCTGGCCTGGAACCAGCAAGAGCAACAGAGAGGTGGAGCATGAGAAAAGACAAGAAGAAAGAACAAGACAGAGAGATGAAGCAATCAATAGATTCAAACTCTTCCACAGATTCAATTCTTCAAAGGGCACATCAAGGCCCGAATAAAGGGGGTGCAGAAAAGCTGCAGGAGACCAAAAAGGGAGGCTGGAAGGGAAATAGAGGCCAGAAAAATGTGGTAGCCAAAAAGGGGGTGGGAGACTGAAAAGAGGTGGGAGGCTGGAGGGCAGTGGAGGCCAAAAAAAGGTGGGAGGTTGAAACGGGGTGGGAGGCCAGGGGTGGGGGGTAGAGGCCAGAAACAAAAAAAAAAAAAAAAGGAGGCTGGACGAGGCAGGGAGGCTGTTGGCCACCCTTCTCTTGATGCAGCCCAGGACACGGTTGGCTTTCTGGGCTGTGAGACCACATTGCTGGCTCATAGTCAGTTTTTTATCCACTAATTACCCCTAAGTCCTTCTCCACGGGGCTGTATTACATCTATATATGTATGTATGTATCTATATACATATACATGTGCGTGGAGCCTTGGTTGGAGGAAGGTCTAGGTGTCCTCATGCTCAATCCACCTCCAGCTAATTGCATTAAGCCTCGGCTAATTCCTTCTGTGCTTTCCACTGGACATCTCTGTCTGACTTGATAACTCTGTGGGTACATGAGCACGAGAGCTTCCAATGATCTTTAACCATGTACCCTCATAGCGGGGCTGAGCAGTAAGTTTCACAGAGGGGATTCAGAAGACATAGAGACAAGTCACGCATAAAATCCATCTCAAAAGACTTGAGCCTGTCTTCAAAGTGTTAGCTTAGCATCCTGAATCTCCCTGCAGCTTTTAATATGCTTCCAGCCCCAAGTGTTGTAAACAATCTTCCTCCGTCCTTAGGAAGGACCTCTTCTGAACTGTTCCAAGAATCACTTATAGGGACAACTATAGCTTTTGTTTCTACACCTGTAGCTCAGTGATTCAAAGGATCCCCTCATATTTGGATAACAATCAGAACACGAGGTGCCAAAATCACCTTTGCCATAAAACACCTCCCCCATGAGGCTGGTGAAGCCATGGCCATTTCTGCCAGAAGAGATACTAACCCAGGGAATATTTCAGCTCCCTGCCAGCAGTTGTAATTCAGCCCTAAGCACGTAGCAAGAGGAAAATACTGCTTTTCAGAAATCTCTCCTCCCATTCAAGTTGCCACACTAGGACACAGTAACTGGCCCTACCAGGTGAACCTACAACCATCCCCCATCAAAATAGATCCAGCCTAGGGGTGCTTTTTTTGTTTGGTTTTTGTTTTCTTTATGCAGTCCTGCTCCTTGTGTCTCACATGGCTGCCAAACTTTTCATTTACATGCTGATCTTGACATCCTGCCCCGGCTCTGTTCTCTGCAGCATTCACAGAGAAGAGTGAAATATGGCTGGAGTGGTTCAGCTTACTCATGGAGCAGCTCGTTCCTCACTTATAGGCAATATATTTTTCACAGTGGAGATATTATCTCTTTCATTTTACTACCTTTGTTTATTTATTTCATACAACGGTGCAGGTTTTTTGCCTTTTTTTTTTTTTTTCTTGTGCAGGAGGACAGTTTTAGTGATAGCAGCAAGGACAGGAGGAACTTTGCTGGGAATAAAAGAGAAGGTAGCAGCTGGGGCAACTGTCTCTCTATCTTCTATCTTATATACTAGCTGATAAAACCTCTCTAATCAGTGCTCTCCTTGGCTTGGAATTTGCTCAGAGGTTTACCATCAGACCTCCCGGTTTCCTTCACACATGGTAGAGGAAGGCAGAGGCCACTTAAGCAAATAGGATATCTACAAGTCCATGGAACCATGCAACTAAAAGTGCCGAGCAAGTTCACTGATGTCATGGTGAGGCCACTCTCTAGCATATGAGAAAGGTCAAGGCAATCAAAGGATTTTCTGATATCTGGAAATGCCATAACCAGCTTAAAGAAAGGCAAAAAGGAGAAGCTAGGTCAGTCATCTTATGCTCATTCTCTGCAAAGTCTACAGAGCAAATCCTCCTGGAAACTATGAAAACATGAAAGACCAAAGTGTCTAAGAAGTCATGAATGAGCAGTGTGATTGTCTTCTATCAAGAAATGACTGGCTTCAGAGAGCAATTGTTGTCATTTACCTTGACTTTAACAAGGGTTTGAACAGTCTCCCATAATTTTGGGATTCAGGATGACTTTCTGCGAGAGAATGGCCATGTGAGCAATCCTGCGTGAGAACAAGACTGATAAGAGCCTCAGCCTGAGCAGGAATGAGATAAGGATGTGACCCTGAATGAGGGAGGAGAAACTCGACGAGACAAACAACCCCCGGAAGGGGTTGGGATGGAAGAGGAAGTTCCACAAGGCAGGAAGCCTGGAAAGGCTGATGTGGCACTTTTTATCCAATCATAAGAAGGTTTAAAGCGCGGGCTAAGTCAACTGTCCAGTCTTGAGGACTTGTCCTGCATGTTACTCATGTGTGCGGGAGAACATTATAAAAGGGCTTTCTTAGTTGTAGTAAACGGGCACTGCTTGATCACATTGGTTGTGTGCGTGCTCAGCTCTCCGACACCATAATAATCTTGTAGGAGTATTGTAGAGATATGGACTAGGTAAGTGCACTAAGAGGCAGGTAGAAAATTGACAGGACCATTGGGTTCAAAGGGTAGTGATCAAATGGATGAAACCCACTTGCTGGCCAGTTGGATTTTCCTCCCCTAATTCAGTAAATTGCGCCTGGATTACCATGTCAAGTGTGGGACTTCCCAGTGCAAGACACGTACGTACTTGTTGAGTGGAGATCACGCAGATGGTCAAGATGATGGAGTACATGGCAGCCACCGAAAGGCTGGGATGACTGGTTTTGTTCAATCTGAAAAAGAGAAAGTGACAGAAATATTGCTGCCTTCAAATACCTAACAGAAGATTATAACATAGATAGCGCTAGACTCTTCTGCAAGGTTCACAACAGAAGAATGTGCTGAAACAAATACATTTTTACTATATATTATAAAGAAACCAATCACCATAAGGGTTGACAAACATTGGAATGGATTCACAGCAATGTTGTGGAATTTACAGTTTTGGAGATTTCAAAGCTCAGCTGGATAAACTCAGAATTGAAAGCTCAAAGATGGGCTTGAAGTCAAGTATACAAAATACTCTTCCAAGATTTCACTCTAGAATAGTGGTAATCTTATCACATCACTGAGATTTTCAGTTTTCCAGAGCTCTGCATCCCAAAAATGGAGCTGTTTCAAAATAAAAAAAAAAAAAAAAAAAAAAAAAAAAAAAAAAAATCCCTAACCAAAACCCAATCCAAGACACCCAAACAAAACATAACAAAAAATGAGAGAGAATATCCAAATTCTAATGTCTGGGACAGAATGTCAGTGTACCGGGATCTGAGATGCAAAATTCAGAAGAACCAGATTCAAAGATTATCCAAGGCCCAGGACACATTCAAGACGGATAAAATAGTCTGGTTAGTGGCCAGACAACATCAGAGATGTTTGTCCAAAATATTTTCAGCTTCCTCAGAGAAAAAAATAAGTAGGAAAGTGTCAGTGGGATGATCAAATACATGAACTTGTGTTATCCCACGCATCGTCTACCAGTTGCCAATCTAAGAGGGGAACAGTCCCTCTACGCTTCTCCAGATTCAAGAAGCAACCAACCAGCTTGAGTTTGGTTCAGGCCATGTAGCTGTAGATGTCTCCAGAACTGAAACTGTACATGTCAAAGCAAGTTGACTTTATAATTAATGGAGAGATACAGGGATTTCTGAGGAGTGAGTCACCTGACCTTTTTTTATATATCTGCTTCAGGATCAGATGAATCATGTCCTGAACTCCACTGTCTGTGTTGACTAGCTCGCCATTTACTGACTCAATTTATTCCCCATTTGTTTTGACAAACATGTTTATTTAATCATATGTATTCCAGCTCGGTAAATGTAAAAAATTACCTCTTTAGACCTCCCATTTTATGCTCTTACCCTAAGTGTTCATGAGCACCAGCTGTCGCAGACAGGATGGTTGGGCTGGTCGACAGGCTGATCCACTGGAGCTGGTCTGACATGCCTCTTTAAATGATATTCCTTCTCCAAGTTCTCTGCATGTAGAAGCTAGAAAACTGACATTATGCTAATGGAGTGTGACTGGAGGAGAGACAATGCCAGCTTTGTACAGAAGCAGAGATGAGTATCCCAGTTTCCATTTCCACAATCGCCCTCTGTCAATGCAAATTAAAACAAGAACTGGGCTCACAACAGCCTATCAAAGACATTTCCAACAATAGCTGTAGGTTCCCACATGGTAATCACACATTCCCTAAACCATCTCTACTTGCTTTGGCAATGGCATGTGCATAGCAAGGCCACCTACCCTGGAAAGCTTTACTGTAATTAGGATAAATCCTCTGGGAGTTTGCTACCTCCCGTCTTCAGAGAATCTGAGCCTAAAGGAGTCTTAGGCTGGATAGTTATGAGTGGCAGGGTGTGTGGGATAGTGCTAACTTCCAACATTTTGAAATTTCACCCTTGAACAAGTGAAGGATCCTGAAAAATTAGTGAAGTATTTGGAAAAAGTATGCAGTCACCCTGGCAATTCCGGAGACGCCGGATCACTGCAATGTGCTGAGGCCTGGCCCATGCCTACTGAGCCGTGTTCAACACTATTCAGGACCTTCGAGGGGAAGAGAGGTCTCTGAATCTGACAACAAAATGACAGGCACTGCGGTCACTCTAAGCCCCGTGACATGAACCGCAGCTGAACCAAAGAACCAACCCGTGCTGGTATCAGTCACCCCTGTACACAAGGAGAAATATTGGAAGTGGAAGTCAGCTCATTTAGTAAAGGATGAAGGATCTTCCAAGAGGGAGCAGGAGGAAGAAGTGGATGAATTAGACTGCTTCAAAGTGGGGCCATCAGAAGAACAGGAGAAGGAAGAGAGGCAGCTGCTGATCAGGGAGGAAGAGGCAGAACTCATAAACGAGGTGGTACCCACCCAATCCCCATCCCCGAGTGAGCTGTGAGTTCTGTGAAAATATTTTAGTCCTACTCCAGGTGAGCACATTGTCACCTGGCTGCTCCAATGTTGAGATAATGGATGGGGTCAGTAGCCTGGAATTAGAGGGTAGGGAAGCAAAGCAGCTGGGATCCATTTCTAGGGAAGGGGGCACTGACAAAGCAATTGGAAAAGAGACTCGAGCCTTCAGCCTCTGGAGGTGACTCCTGCCAGGTGTGAAGGAAAGTTACCCCTTCAAGGAGGACGTTAAATGTCACCCA